CGATTGTGCAAACAATGTAGTAAACGCGCCCATGTCACCATGCCCGCTCACACTACATGCTGCGTGTCCCTTGGTTTCTGTAAAAACGAAACCAACACACATTCAGTCGGCCATGACCGACAATGTTTTCAGTGTAATAAATGTGCCCGCAGCCCCGCGCCCACATTTTCTCACAGACACGCCGATTCCTACGGGATCTCCCCCGCTCGCTTTTTCTGCACAATCTGCCATAAAAAAGCTGAGCGCGGCCAGGCCGCCCGCTGTGATCAGCGCGCCCCCCGCCTCGAACGCTGTAAACACGGTGTTGTGTTCCCAGTATGCCCGGGCTCTCGAGCTGCCGTTTTGTCGCGGCCGGAGCCCGGATTTCATTTCTAGCTATTCACGCAGATGCGTGGTCAAAGCTTCCCGGGGTATCAGAATGGGTGCTGAACACTATAAAGAGAGGCTATTCGCTACAATTCGCTCGACGTCCGCGCCGTTATACGGCGCGTGTCGAAACTACGGTGAAAAACGAAGTGTCTCATCTACTTCGTGCCGAGATAGCGAAACTACTGAGCAAAGGGGCTATAGAACCTTTATCTCAGGCTCAGAGCGAAGGGGGCCTATACAGCAGATATTTTCTGGTACCGAAAAAGGATGGGGGTCTCAGACCCATTTTAGATCTACGACAGCTGAACAGAGTGCTTGTGAAACGCCAGTTCAGAATGCTTACGACCAGGAAAATCCTCGCGCAAGTGCGCCACGGGGACTGGTTTATGTCGATAGATCTGAAAGACGCCTATTTCCAAATACAAATAGCGTCCCATCACAGGCGATTCTTGAGATTCGCCTTCGAGGGCCAGGCATATCAATACACAGTCCTGCCGTTCGGCCTGTCCCTAGCACCTCGTACATTTACGAAGTGCATGGACGCGGCGCTCGCACCCCTGAGACTTCAGGGCATGCGAGTCCTGAACTACTTGGACGATTGGCTGATTCTAGCTCGATCACGATCGGAGCTCATAGAACACAGGGCCGCATTACTCGAGCACATTACTCGAGCACCTCGAGGAGCTGGGCCTCACAGTCAATTGGGCGAAGAGCTCACTGTCTCCCAGTCAGAAAATTTCCTTTCTGGGAACCGTGTTGGACTCGCTGTCCATGACAGCACGCCTGTCACCAGAGCGCGGGCTAAATATTCAGCGCGGCGCGAAATCCTTCCGCCACGGCGCGATAGTTCCGCTCAAAAGGTTTCAGAAAATGCTGGGGCTGATGGCCTCAGCAGCCTCTGTACTCCAGTTGGGCTTGCTCCGCATGCGCCCACTGCAGATGTGGCTGAAAGCGCGGGTTCCACCCAGGGCATGGACAGCGGGTCTGTTTCGCCTCAGGGTCGACCTTCAGTGTTTTTCAGCTCTGGAACCTTGGAAAATAACCGACTGGTATCAGTCAGGTGTGAGTCTGGGGACCGCTTCGAGTGTGAAGGTGGTGTCTACGGACGCCTCCACCTCGGGGTGGGGAGCGCTGCTCGAGGGCAGACCGCTAGCTGGCCTGTGGTCAGAACGGGAAAAGCTCCTTCACATAAACTGCTTGGAGATGATAGCAGTCGACAAAGCGCTACGGCGTTTTTGTCCCCAGGTAACAGGCCACCACGTCTTGGTCCGGTCGGACAACATGTCAGTGGTGGCATACATAAATCGCCAGGGCGGCGTCAGGTCACGAAACCTTCACAGGCTGACGGAACGCCTCCTGGTCTGGGCTCAGCACAACCTGCTCTCACTGAGAGCAGCGCACGTGCCTGGTCACCTGAATGTGGGACCAGACAGACTGTCCAGGAACAATGTTCCAGCAGGGGAATGGTCGCTGCACCCGCAGACGGTCCAGCTGCTGTGGAAAACGTTCGGCAGAGCACAGGTGGACCTATTCGCGTCCCACGAAAACGCTCATTGCCCGGAGTTTTTCTCGAAAAGCAAGGACGCGCTGGCTCATGTTTGGCCCCGCTGCCCCCTATATGCTTTTCCTCCTGTCTCGCTCCTGCCTCAGGTGTTGGAACGAATCAGGGAGAACGGATGCCCAGTGCTGCTCGTAGCTCCGCTCTGGACAAACCAGACGTGGTTCCCTGCCCTGATGCAGCTGACCAGCACTGCCCCATGGCCTGTACCATTGAGGAGAGACCTCCTCTCTCAGGCGGAGGGCTCGATTTGGCACCCTCGCCCGGAGTTGTGGTCCCTGCACGCATGGGCCATCAACGGGTACCCGCTAGCCTCCCAGAAGGAGTGTTAAACACGATCGCGCAGGCTAGAGCTCCGTCTACCAGGCGGCTCTACTCCTCGAAATGGTCTGTTTTCTCTGCATGGTGTCAAGCCCAGAGCTTTTCACCTGTGGAATGCGGGGTTTCGGAAGTGCTTTCCTTCCTTCAAGAGCTACTGGATAAGGGCAGGACCCCATCCACGCTCAAAGTATATGTGGCGGCCATAGCAACGTTTGCAAAACCGGTGTCTGGCCAGTCGCGCGTTTCCTTAGGGGAGCTCGGAGGCTGAACCCTCCCAGGCCCCCTTCAGTCCCGACGTGGGACCTTTCCACGGTCCTGGAGGCCATGAAAGGCGCCCCGTTCGATCCAATCCAGCTGGTGGACATGAAACACCTGTCGTTCAAAACAGTGTTTCTCATGGCTCTCGCTTCAGTGAAGCGCATAGGGGACTTACAGGCGCTTTCAGTAAGCGCGTCGTGTATGGAGTTTGGGCCTAATGACTCGAAGGTCATTCTCAAACCAAAGCACGGGTATGTCCCGAAATCCCTCAATACACCGTTCAGGGCCCAGGTAATTTCCCTGTCCGCCCTTCCGGTTCTCAGTGAGGAGGAGAATGCGAGTCTCCTTTGCCCCGTCAGGGCATTGAGAGCTTATGTGTCACGCTCGTCTGTTTTCAGACAGACGGAGCAGCTTTTTGTTTTGTTTGGCGGGCGTTCCAAGGGACTCGCCGCCTCAAAACAGAGCCTATCCAGATGGATAGTGGATGCCATTGCGCTCGCTTACTCTGCGAAGGGCCTACAGTGCCCCTTGGGTGTCAGAGCGCACTCCACGAGAGGCGTGGCCTCTTCGTGGGCGTGGTCGAGCGGGGTTTCCCTGCAAGATATCTGTACGGCCGCGGGCTGGGCCTCGCCGTCTACATTTATAAAATACTATAACCTGGAGGTACCCGCCTTACAAGCTAAGCTTTTGGCGGTCTAAAATTCAGTGCTATCTGCCCCGCTGTGCGGCCCAGATGCTGAGTTTACTGCAGCCCCATGAGTGTTGACACACGTATGGCCACCCAGATCAGGCTGAAAGCTTTCACCCTGGCTGCGCGTTTTATTGTCATATGATAGCCCCGCTGGGTGCTTTTTTATAGGGAATGACGCTTCCAGCCTCTCTTCCTCCACTCTATGTGAGTTTATGGTGATTATGCACTACATGAGCCCTGGGCTTCGGCCCCCGGGACTTTGGTGTTGGATCCCTGTACGCACGGCGTGTTGCATTGTGTTCCCCTAGCGTAAGCTATTACGCAGTACGAGAGATACTCTCGTAAGAGAACGTACTCGGTTACTAACGTAACCTCGGTTCTCTCTAGAGAGGGAACGAGTACTGCGTATCTTGCCGTGCTTGGAATACGCTCTGGTTCGCTTCAGCGATAAAAACCAGCTTGTACCAGCCTAACGAGCATATTTATAGGGTGAGACCACGCCCCTTCTGGCGGGACGTGACGATATGGGCGCGAATTGCCCCCATTGGTCATTACGTCACGCAGAGTCTCTCTCGATAGGCTGCTGCATTTGCTGCAGAGCAACCAATAGGCGCGCGAGCTGTTTCGCCTATGTCTGCTTGCTGCTGCAAAGCGTTTTACATTAATAAAAAATTAAGGATAATTTTTGGCTTCAATATCTCGTGGAAAAGAGTTTTTCCCCTAGCGTAAGCTATTACGCAGTACTCGTTCCCTCTCTAGAGAGAACCGAGGTTACGTTAGTAACCGAGTACGTTACCTTTGATTCTAATGAGCGGTAAATAGCTCTCTGGGAAAGGCCCTGTTCACCCTTTGAATGTTGTATACATGCAAAAACTCACACTAAAAGACTGATGCACACTAGTGATTCACAAACATACTGAGCTTTTGTTTTACCTGAATCCGGTCAGTGTTCTGGTGTTAAAGCAACTGACTGGAGAAGCTGGAGTAAAAGTTTGAAAACAGTTGGGCATTTTAGAAAAAGAAAAGAAGCCAAACAGCAAAATCTAAATGCTAATTTTATGCATGGTATTTCATCAAAAATGTTGTTTACAAATTACCAGGGCACATGAATAGAAAAAAAAAATAATGATGTGCATGGATAAATCATTTATTATAAATACTGCAATATTCCATAAAAAATAAAACAATTTATTTCATGTTGACTTTTAAGGGCACCTATTACACCTATACATATATAATATGTCCCATTAATTTTGTGACTAGCTACGTCACCATGTTATACATTTGCATAATACTCGCCTACTGGCTGTTTTGGTCCACCTTTAAAGAACAGTTGGGTAAGAGATTTCGCTATGTCGCAAAGACACTGTTTTGTTTTGTTTTTGTTTTTTCACTGCAAAAATATTACATGGACTTTAAATTCTGATAAATTAATTATTATAGATAAAATAATTTTTACAGCTGGTCATGAACCCTCGTAACCCGAAACCCTTTTAAGGTAAAGGGTGTTATATTTCCAGTACAAGCGGTAGACCAATCACAACAGACTGGGACAGCTGACCAATCAGAGAAGACACCACTTTTCAGAAGGCGGGTTTTAACCAAACTAAAAAGAGTGTTTCAGGCAGAGGGAAAAACTCATTAATGAGTATAACATGGCACTTTAGCATGAGGTAGTTTATGTAGCTGACCAATGTAAATGGATGGTAGAAAAGATTTCAAGTACATTTTAATCTTAATGTAAACAGTAAATCATAATCCTCTCTCTGTCTCTCTCTCTCTCTCTCTCTCTCTCTCTCTCAGGAGCATGTGATACGGGAGGAAGCTCGTAGTCTCACCCCTCGACAATGTGCCGCCATGGATTTAGTGCTTCCCACCATCAAGGTATCAGCTTCTCTCTTATCTTCTGCTCTGATTCTCCCATTTCAGGGGACAGTTGCATAAACTTATGCTTAGACTAGAGTCACTAAAGTGTTTCTTTAAAATTAAATTAGTCAAATAAACGGTTTAAGAGATGATGTGAAGTCCATTTTTCAAACGCCCGAAACAGATTATTATTCAGTTGAAGCATATGGAACACAGCCAGATTAGATGGGCGGTGTAAGAGAGCATTTACTCTATTTATCCTGCATCACATATACATACATACACACACACATGGTTAGAATGGTGTGTGTCTTTAGTTGTGGTGTAAATGTGCATGTGAGCTGCAGATACATGCATCATCAGAGATATTATTGATTCAGTCGTCTCCTTGGAAACACGCGCCCCTCCCTGTTCGAATCAGTCATGGAGTGGGAATTATGCTCATTGGTATTCTGAGGACAGAAGCTAATTAGGGAAGTTAACAAAAGCCTTGAGTAAAATTTTGACAATGGAAACGGCTGCACACAGTGATGAGCTCAGGATTCTGTGCTTGAGGTGGCAAAGTAACGACAGCGAAGAAATCTGAAGAGATGAATGAGAAAAATAATTAATGGTTGAGTGGAAAAAAAAGATACACAGACAGATGAAAAGAGAGGAGAACAAACACAGTCTGATGTCTTTGTCATCAACTGTCTTTTTAAATATGTATGAATCAATGCACTGCAAAATACAACATTTTCCATTGAAATATCTAAACATTCTTAAGATACAGTAATAAGATACTTTGCCTCCTTATTTCAGAAGACCACCACACACCAACTGATCTCAAACGCACAATAGAGAAAGCTCTATGAATAATGCAGCTAAAATAATGGGCCTCCAGAAGATCAAAAAAGCATGCATTTGAAATCCAAAAAAGTGATGCTCTACCTGACCAATCAATACAGCCGACCAACTACATCAGCCGTTCATCATCGGCTTAATTAAAATCCAGCACACAGCCAGAGGCTCTCATCACTAGAAAATGAGGAGCTGTTTACTGTTCATCACACAAACTGTGAAATGATTGAGAAAGAGCCAACGATAGACAGACAGACAGACAGACAGACAGACAGCATCATTTTTAAAATCTATATTTTGATTTTCTTGTTTATTATGAAACCTTGAGTTGCTTTTTATGCATGCACGATGCTTTGCAAATGATTTTTTTTTTTTTTTTTTTTTTTTTTTTTTTTTTTTTTTTATTAAGTGAGGGAAAACCTAAATGCAAACATTGAAAATGACACCTGCCCTTTCCACAGACCCGGAGCAATTGATTCCTCAGTGGAAATCTCATTTATCTCAATCAAATCAGACATGAAAACGTCACCGCTCCGTCCACACCATTCCCTCTCTAATCGCCCTTTATGCTAATAGAATAATAAACTAGATCTGATCAAATGCCAGCCTTCCCCTCACACTAATGTCTAGTTGTGTCGGATATCTCCATGTGCCATTAACTCTGTGGCAGTGTCTGAAGCTCTGGGCTCATGTTTAACCCTGATCTGATTGTGTTCAGCTGATGGAGGTGACTGTGACAGATGCTGTATCGGTCTTATGTCTCAATATAACTTAGATATTAACTCAATTAACAGTGTGGAGGTATGAATATTGCTGAATTGCCTCCTGTAGCATCTGTGGTGATTTTGTGATACAAATAATGTAGCCCGACTACGCCACCCAATTGAAGAGATGGGACTCTATTAAATAAAATAACTATATTTTGCTTGCAAGTTCTTTTAGTTTGGTGGAAGCAACACAACAGAATTACCCAAACAACAGTTTCGATATAAAAATGATTACAATGATAAAAGGAAAGGGCGCGCCGTGCACTCTCTCACTCAAACTTAAAAGCTGGACATCGGAAAAATACATTCACAAATCCAATGGAAGTCCGTAGTTAGGCACCCACAGTCCGTAAGCGGTTCCTCTAACCAAGTCTGTCTCGCACCGAACAGCGGCGTCTACACAGCAGCCCACCTGTCACTCACTCGTGCACATCAACACAACACTCACACAAACAGAAAAAGAGCAGCCAGTATCTCCACAGCAGATAAACACAGCATAAACACAACACCACACTAGGATAGCTATTAATCGTGCAACACTCAATTAGATCACTGCAATTCGTGAATATGCATAAACGATATAGATAGCGGTATGACTACAGTAGACAGACTGGAACTCTCCAATTTAGGTGAGACGTGGATCTTAGTTTCGGACGAGGCAAGGCACACAATTTAACAGGGCGTCACTCACCAATAAACTGGGAGTAGATGAATCTAGCTCCCAGTCTTGTTGGACAATGCTCCACAACACCACAAGCCCAGGATAGACGAAGCAGGGCTCCGGGCAGCACAGCGTAAAACAGCAGCGATCTGTAGCGCAGTAGAGGGCGGCAACAATCCAGCGCAGCAGAGAACGGTAGCAATCCCAGCACAGCAGAGAACGGCAGCAATCCCAGCACAGCAGAGAACGGCAGCAACCCCAGCGCAGCAGAGAACGGCAGCAATCCCAGCGCAGCAGAGAACGGCAGCAACCCCAGCGCAGCAGAGAACGGCAGCAATCCCAGCGCAGCAGAGAACGGCAGCAATCCCAGCACAGCAGAGAACGGCAGCAACCCCAGCGCAGCAGAGAACGGTAGCAATCCCAGCGCAGCAGAGAACGGTAGCAATCCCAGCACAGCAGAGAACGGCAGCAATCCCAGCGCAGCAGAGAACGGTAGCAATCCCAGCGCAGCAGAGAACGGTAGCAATCCCAGCACAGCAGAGAACGGCAGCAATCCCAGCGCAGCAGAGAATGGCAGCAATCCCAGCGCAGCAGAGAACGGCAGCAATCCCAGCGCAGCAGAGAACGGCAGCAATCTCAGCACAGCAGAGAACGGCAGCAATCCCAGCGCAGCAGAGAACGGTAGCAACCCCAGCGCAGCAGAGAACGGCAGCAATCCCAGCGCAGCAGAGAACGGTAGCAACCCCAACGCAGCAGAGAACGGCAGCAATCCCAGCGCAGCAGAGAACGGCAGCAATCCCAGCGCAGCAGAGAACGGCAGCAACCCCAGCGCAGCAGAGAACGGCAGCAATCCCAGCGCAGCAGAGAACGGCAGCAATCCCAGCGCAGCAGAGAACGGCAGCAACCCCAGCGCAGCAGAGAACGGCAGCAACCCCAGCGCAGCAGAGAACGGTAGCAATCCCAGCGCAGCAGAGAACGGTAGCAACCCCAGCGCAGCAGAGAACGGCAGCAATCCCAGCGCAGCAGAGAACGGTAGCAATCCCAGCGCAGCAGAGAACGGCAGCAATCCCAGCGCAGCAGAGAACGGCAGCAATCCCAGCGCAGCAGAGAACGGCAGCAATCCCAGCGCAGCAGAGAACGGTAGCAACCCCAGCGCAGCAGAGAACGGCAGCAATCCCAGCGCAGCAGAGAACGGCAGCAACCCCAGCGCAGCAGAGAACGGCAGCAACCCCAGCGCAGCAGAGAACGGTAGCAATCCCAGCGCAGCAGAGAACGGTAGCAACCCCAGCGCAGCAGAGAACGGCAGCAATCCCAGCGCAGCAGAGAACGGTAGCAATCCCAGCGCAGCAGAGCGCAGCAGAGAACGGCAGCAATCCCAGCGCAGCAGAGAACGGCAGCAATCCCAGCACAGCAGAGAACGGCAGCAACCCCAGCGCAGCAGAGAACGGTAGCAATCCCAGCGCAGCAGAGCGCAGCAGAGAACGGTAGCAATCCCAGCGCAGCAGAGAACGGCAGCAATCCCAGCACAGCAGAGAACGGCAGCAACCCCAGCGCAGCAGAGAACGGTAGCAATCCCAGCGCAGCAGAGAACGGTAGCAATCCCAGCGCAGCAGAGAACGGCAGCAATCCCAGCGCAGCAGAGAACGGTAGCAATCCCAGCGCAGCAGAGAACGGTAGCAATCCCAGCGCAGCAGAGAACGGCAGCAATCTCAGCACAGCAGAGAACGGCAGCAATCCCAGCGCAGCAGAGAACGGCAGCAATCCCAGCGCAGCAGAGAACGGCAGCAACCCCAGCGCAGCAGAGAACGGTAGCAATCCCAGCGCAGCAGAGAACGGTAGCAACCCCAGCGCAGCAGAGAACGGCAGCAATCCCAGCGCAGCAGAGAACGGTAGCAATCCCAGCGCAGCAGAGAACGGCAGCAATCCCAGCGCAGCAGAGAACGGCAGCAATCCCAGCGCAGCAGAGAACGGCAGCAATGAACGGCAGCAATCCCAGCGCAGCAGAGAACGGCAGCAATCCCAGCACAGCAGAGAACGGCAGCAATCTCAGCACAGCAGAGAACGGCAGCAATCCCAGCGCAGAAGAGAACGGTAGCAACCCCAGCGCAGCAGAGAACGGCAGCAATCCCAGCGCAGCAGAGAACGGTAGCAACCCCAACGCAGCAGAGAACGGCAGCAATCCCAGCGCAGCAGAGAACGGCAGCAATCCCAGCGCAGCAGAGAACGGCAGCAACCCCAGCGCAGCAGAGAACGGCAGCAATCCCAGCGCAGCAGAGAACGGCAGCAATCCCAGCGCAGCAGAGAACGGCAGCAACCCCAGCGCAGCAGAGAACGGCAGCAACCCCAGCGCAGCAGAGAACGGTAGCAATCCCAGCGCAGCAGAGAACGGTAGCAACCCCAGCGCAGCAGAGAACGGCAGCAATCCCAGCGCAGCAGAGAACGGTAGCAACCCCAGCGCAGCAGAGAACGGCAGCAATCCCAGCGCAGCAGAGAACGGTAGCAATCCCAGCGCAGCAGAGCGCAGCAGAGAACGGCAGCAATCCCAGCGCAGCAGAGAACGGCAGCAATCCCAGCGTAGCAGAGAACGGCAGCAATCCCAGAGAACAGTAGCAATCCCAGCACAGCAGAGAACGGCAGCAATCCCAGCACAGCAGAGAACGGCAGCAATCCCAGCACAGCAGAGAACGGCAGCAATCCCAGCACAGCAGAGAACGGTAGCAATCCCAGCACAGCAGAGAACGGCAGCAACC